GATTTGTGCGTGGAGTGGGAGAGAAGCCTGAGGGAAATTAAATAAATACCCCTGGTGGATTTTTTTAATTTTTCCTGAGCCGCTATATTGTTAGAGTTGAATGATTAGTAAAGAGAGAAAAGCACAAACAGATGATTGTTTTTGAGAGTGAATTTGGATTCAGCTTTATTTGTGATCCTTTTCCATACGCCGTCTCTTATGGTTGGAACGTGAGAAGTTTCTAGCATGAATACTTGTGGAAGTATTTTAGGCTTGGATGCTTAAATGCTGTTTGGAAATCTGTCTGAATATATAATTTCCTTTGTGGTGACATTAGCGAATTTAGGATTCAGGTGTTGAGTAGTTGTAGAAATCCCCCTGCCAGGGAATAGAAACGATCTCGTTACCAGGTAGTCTGTGCTACACCACGTGCATTTCAAAATGAGATGATTTTTTTTTCAGGCTATTTATATTTAGGGATAAGCCCTGATAGAGCACAACACTGAAGCATTTGCTTAATTTTAAGTATACTGAGTAATCCAATTTGGAATGCAGAAGTGCTATACTGAATTCTTTAGTGACATAGTGATAGTGCCCTGAACCTATGAACAATTGTTTTCTTATATTTGTACACAAAAATGTTCCTAGAACTGCTGAGCAGTGTGGAGTTGATCATGGGCATGTCTGCAAATTAAGCCCTGATCAAACAGACAAATATTGATGTGTGTGTTGTAAACTGAAAACAGGTAAAGTTTGATTGCACATTGCAAACTCTTAATGTGGCATTATGCTCAATTTTTGGTAACACAACCAGTTAAAAACCTAGTTATTTGAAAAACTTGGAGTGGAAGCTTAAACAATTTGCTGGGGGGGAAGAGCCTAGATTCTGCCTTTTTCTTGTTTCTTTTAGTTTTAATATAAATCCTGCTGTAAAAGATTTAGGAAAAGGAATAATCTTGATTAATAAAAAAAAGTCTTACTTCCCTATTTTTGCCAAAGCTTTTTTTTCTTGCTAACTCCACAGGAATATCAGACGCTCTTAGAAGAAAGGCAAAACATTTGCATCCCATATTTGAAATTATTATTTTCCTACAATTTCTATGGCCTCTTCTGTAGTGTTACAGCGTGACTTCTCGTGTAGACAGGTTGCTGGCTGCTACCACTGTACTAAATCCCAGCTGAGGAAAGCACTTGAACTGGAGCTCCAAGCACTCTTGCTTTGTTTCTTTCTGAGCATGATGGTGATTAAATTGCTAGCAGATGTATGGAGCGTTGCTGATGCTACCGCGACTGCAGTGCTGGCAACGGCAGAAATATCAGCAGTTGTTGGAACAGCTTGGGCAGGAGGCAAAGCACAAGCAACTTGTAGGCAAGTCATCCTCTGAGGTTGAGATGAGGCCAAAGCAAAATCCCAGATCTAAAAACGAGGAGAAATTTCAAATATATCTCCAAAAGGTATAACTGAAAACATGCTCTATAGTATCTTTAGCCCTTGATTAGAATATTAACCACGTTGTAGTAAGTGCATAGGGAGTTGCTGTAGTGGAGCCAGTTCAATACTCTGCTGAGTAAAGAACTAAGTCAGCATCTCACAGTAAGATACAGCTTGATCTTTCCGATGGAGACCAAAATGTGCCTTCATTAGTACACTTTGCTTGTTGTGTAGTATGTCGTGGGGCAATTTCTTTCCAAACCTTTAAAAAATCAGTTTATGCTCATCTATTAAAATATTATCATCAATATCTTTGCATGCTTAGCTTTAAATAATGGCAGAGATTCCCAACTTGTTGAAAAATAATTGTCCAGTTGAAGCAATACTAATTTAAACCCAGATATAGACCTTGCATAGTAGTATCAGTCATTGAATTAGCTACTGGTTTTAAACTGGAGTATTTGGTTCTTTGGCTAATAATTCCATGAGCTGTGAGCTGGGATTGTAAAGAAGTATTTCCTTCTGGTTGTTTTAAATTACTTGCTGGTCACTTTATTCTAAGCCTCCCATTCTTTAACACTATTGCTCTATTCCCTGCATTTCTAGTGGCTTTAAATACCACAGTAAACTCCTTGTATAATTTTTCTCAATTTCAGACTAAATTATCTGTAGTGTATTCAGATTTGGATCCTAGTCATTGAATTAGCTACTGGTTTTAAAAATCTACCTGGAGTATTTGGTTCTTTGGCTAATAATTCCATGAGCTGGTCATATGGATTGTAAAGAAGTATTTCCTTCTGGTTGTTTTAAATTACTTGCTGGTCACTTTATTCTAAGCCTCCCATTCTTTAACACTATTGCTCTATTCCCTGCATTTCTAGTGGCTTTAAATACCACAGTAAACTCCTTGTATAATTTTTCTCAATTTCAGACTAAATTATCTGTAGTGTATTCAGATTTGGATCCTAGCAGTCCTATTCCAAAACCTTCTCCTGGGCCACCTGTCCTAACTGTCCTCTCCTGTCACGTGCAAGTCGTGTCCCCGGGCTAGGATGCCATCCCTGTGCCGTGTTCATACTTCATATTCCTGATCGCGCAGTGCAGGGCACCAGCTCCCTGCCTCTTTCTTCCTGCACCCCCAGCAGGGAAACTGAAGCCACCTATGCACACCTACTCATGTACGATGGGAGAGCCCTCCTGGAGGACACCCAGTGCTCTGGATCTGCTCCACATATGGTCTCCTGTCCCAGGACCACACGTGCTGCCACATCCCCATCTCCTCCCTGACACATGGTTTGGCAAAGCTTCTCCTCAAGCTGGTGAAGAGGCACAGGGGGATGCCGGGGTGGCAGTGCCTGGAAAGCGGCACTTGGCATGGGCAGCAATAGCTGTTCCAAGGTAGTTTTCACGAGAGATGAGTTGTTTGCTTGATGACTAGTGAATTTGCTTTAAAAGCACATTTTGGCTCATTCTAAGAGTTATTTGCAAATGTATTTTGAATTGGTGTGTGTGTGTCAAAATCATTTGAGAGGAGCAGCCTATATTTACCAAATACCTTCAGGGAGGAGTGGTGCTTCCCCCACACAGCAGCCTGAAGGTTGGGGCTTTCAAACAAAGCCTGGACCCCCGATCCACTCCCTCTTCTTCCTCTCTCTGGAAGAGGACTGCCCAGTTTGTCCTTAACAGCCAAAGTAGAGTCTCTGAACAGAGGTGCACTCAGTAGCACAAAATGAAGTGATATTGTGCTAGCTAAATATTTATTGAGGCAAGTTAAAAAAAAAAAAAAAAAAGAGAAGGGGATCTAATTTGGTAGCTAGGACATAAACTCCTAAAATTTGCTATAAATTTCAGCCTCACTGCAGTGACTGTTTCAACATTACACAGGCTGCATTAGCATAAACAGGAAAGATGATTTTTTTCTATTCCAGAATGCCACTTCCATTTTTGTTTTATTTTCTTCTATGCAATTTCCATTTTCTTATATTTGTAGAAATTTTGTCTGTGTAGATTCCTGCATGGCAGGCTAAATGTGCTCTCCAATGTTTCATGCTTGCTCCAAGCTGATATGGGTTCAGGCTGTCACCAACAGAAGCTGTTGTCCTGTCTTCCCTTCTCCCATTTCAGGGCTGTGAATTCCTTCTCCCTCCCCTGCACCAGAGCTAGCACTATGTGGTTTGAAGGATAAATGAGAAGATTTTTTTTTTTGTCTACTAGTTTTCAGCCTCGGTCACCTTTTGCAGATTCCTTGGAATTTCTTCCTAATATCTAATCTAAATCTACCCTCTTTCAGTTTAAAACCATTACCCCTCATCCTATCACTACGCTCCCTGATAAAGAGTCCCTCCTCATCTTTCCTGTAGGCCCCCTTTAAGTACTGGAAGGCTGCTATAAGGTCTCCTCGGAGCCTTCTCTTCTCCAGGCTGAACAACCCCAACTCGCTCAGCCTGTCCTCATCGGGGAGGAGCTCCAGCCCCCTGATGATCTTCGTGGCCCTTCTCTGGACTCGCTCCAACAGGTCCATGTCTTTCTTGCGCTGAGGGCTCCAGAGCTGGACACAGTACTCCAAGTGGGGTCTCATGAGAGCAGAGTAGAGGGGGAGAATCACCTCCCTCGACCTGCTGGCCATGCTGCTTTTGATGCAGCCCAGGATGCAATTGGCTTTCTAAGCTGTGAGCGCACGTTGCCAGCTCATACTCAGTTTTTCATCCACCGATACCACCAAGTCCTTCTCCGCAGGGCTGCTCTCCATCCACTCATCACCCAGCCTGTATCGATGTTTGGGATTGCCCCGACTCAGGTGTAGGACCTTACACTTGGCTTTGTTGAACTTCGTGAGGTTCACATGGGTCCACCTCTCTAGCCCGTCAAGGTCCCTCTGGATGGCATCCCTTCCCTCTAGAGTATCAATCACACCACTCAGCTTGGTGTATCCACAAACTTGCTGAGGGTGCACTCAATCCCCACTGTCCATGTCCGCGACAAAGATGTTAAAGAATACTGGTCCCAGACGCCTCAGGGACACCACTTGTCACTGGTCTCCACTTGGACATTGAGCCGTTGACCGCAACTCGAGTGCGACCATCCAGCCCAATTCCTTATCCACGAAGTGGTCCACCTGTCAAATCCATGTCTCTCCATTTTAGAGACAAGGATGTGTGTGGGACAGTATGAAATGCTTTGCACAAGTCCAGGTAGATGATGTCAGTCGCTCTTCCCTTATCCACCAATGCTGTAACCCCATTGTAGAAGGCCACCAAATTTGTCCTTTTTGCTGAGTTTGGTCTTATGCTGTCGTGTAACTGTACCCTGCAGTAGCAGTATTTTACCTGACTGAGGCTCAGCCGTCCTCTGAATGCCGGGGACCAAGCCAGTGCAATGCCAAGGGCTGTAGTTCCCACCGGCATCGCTGGAATTAGCTTGCTGATGATAATGTTGTTAGCGCCAGCCTGGGAATGGAGCGGAGAGGGGGGAAATCGATGTATAAGCTTTGACTGTGCTGCTGCAGTGAGTGAGGCTTGTTGAATGAAAGACTTGGGCAGAAACCAAGTGAAGTAGCGGTATGTAGGGCTGCTGCAGAACTGAGGTGTTAATGACGTGCCGGCTAGGAAGAGTAAGTGGGTTCTGAGGCAATGCTGCACTCTTACGGCATCTTTGTTCGGTACAGGAGAGGGGAATTAAGCTGTTATGTTATAGTATTTCCATATGGAGCTACTGTTACGCATGGAACTACACTAACATTTGCGATGAGCGTGGAAGGGTAAATAAAGAGCCTTAGATGCTCCTGTGGTTTCTTGTCACTTCCCTTCCCTTTCTAACAATACAGTAACAAAAATATAGGGGGAAAAAAAGCAGGTGGCATTACTGAAATATGGATTCTGTAATTCTTACAGGGTGTGAAAGATGATTTTTTTTTTTTTTTAATGATTACAATATACCAGGTGTGAATTGGATCCTTCTCAAAGCGAGGAATTAATTATGCTGCCTACAAGTTGCAATAATGTGAGGGAGCACCACACAGTCCTCCCACTGTGCTGCCAGTGCACCTGCACAATGTCTTCTGTCCCACTTCCAGACTTCTTTTAGGCAATGTTTATTTGTGTCTTGTGTGGCTTGTAGTAAGACAGAAGTTGCCAGTAAGCATCAGAGTAGACAATATCTTGTCTTTTAACACTGACAAGATATGGAAGTACCATGATGAATAAAGGTGGGGTAACCTGACTCTCGTAGAGATGTTTATCCTGTCTCTGCCTTCCAGAGTTCTGGTTCACTGTTAATTTTATAACTTTAAATCCCCAATCTTTATTGATCAGGAGTAAGGTTTTGGCATTTGCATTTCCCTGCTGTGAAGAGTTATGTGTCATTTTCCTTTCTATCTCCTCAAATACGAATCCTCTCTAATTTCATTGAGTAATCGGTTATTCTTATGTTACATAAAACAGAGCACAGAAAGTCTGTCTTTTCTCTGTGCCATTTCATTATTTTGTGTAATTGCATTATGTCTCCTGTAATCTCTCCTTTGTAAGCTAAATAGTCACAGTCTTTTCTGTCTCTTCTCATATTAAAATTTATCCAAATCCTTTATTATTCCTACTGCTATTATTGTCTGAATCCCCTCTAACATTGTAGCGTCCATTTTTTTTGAGATGTTGTTACTAGTGCAGCATGTGGCACAGCAGAGATAATGCTGATCTACATTAGAGCAGTGTTACCTCCCTGCTGGTCACCATTTTATTCCTCGTTTATCCCAATATATTTTTTAACTACAGTTAAGAATTTCGTTTAGAAGAGTGGTCTTCCTTGAGAAGTGTTCTGTGACCCTGAGGTGTCTTTACTGAATTGATAAAGTATGCTTTAAGAGGTATTAGAGCATGTGTAATTACATTTTCTCCCTCTAGCACATGCTGCTTTTAATGTTGAACTCATCATGATATTGTCTTTTCACCTAGCTTTTTTAATGTTTATCTTTAAATTCTTCACTGTCATTTCTGGTCTTTCCTGGCCCAAATAATTGTGTGTTGTCTACAGGCTTTGCCACCTCGTTGCTCACCTTCTTTTCCAGATCAAGAATAAATGTAGTAAACAACACAGAACTGAGTTTACCGAACCTTTTATCTGATGTGAAAAAAAAATTATTTGGAGACTTCAGTTAGACTACTCAGATGATTTGATAAATTCTTTTTATTTAGATTTCAATAGCTAAAAGACCTAGATTGCTGCTGCTTTTTTTCCATACAAAACCCAGAACAAAACTAAAGCTCTACCATATTGTCTTACAGACCCTGTCTAGAAGAATTTCAAATCCCTATTTGGAAACTCCTTCAAACAAGGTACTTGTCAAGCTTCTTTTTAATTCCATTTCATCAAACAACATATTAGGAATCTTTTTGCTTTGGTTTGACCTCTTAATCATAGCTTGGAAGACACTTGTGAATATGGCCTGCAGTTAAATCCAGTTAACAAGTTACAATTTGTGCATGTTAAAAATGGTCTACTTCTATTACTGAATTTGCAAACTGAATTGTTGTGAATACTGACATGCACTTGCTTCCCAGCCATTTAAATGATTGCCACCAATTAGCTTACTTTTGCAATGTTTGAGAGCTCTGTTTTTGCATCTCACAAGACTTTGCTGTCTCAGGACTGTTTTATGTTCCTTGAAAGAGTCCTAAACATAGGAAACAAAAAAAAAAAAGGTGAAACCACGGCATTGTTTTTCTTTGGAGTTAGTTATTTGTGTTACATATGTGTTTTGCTGGGACGGTGAGGAAACATCACAACAGAAGCCTGAGTTAAATTCAGCAGTACGGAGTGGTGTACAGAGTCAAGGTGGAACATGGTTTTATGGAAGATGGAGTTGGGTCCTGTTTTGATACACATCTGCAGCCTTGAGGTGTAAGGTAGAAATCATAGAATCATAGAATCATTAAGGTTGGAAAAGACCTCTAAGATCATCGAGTCCAACCGTCGACCCAAAACCACCATGCCCACTAAACCATGTCCCTAAGTGCCTCATCTACTCGTCTTTTAAATACTTCCAGGGATGGGGACTCCACCACTTCCCTGGCTGGCGCAACTTGAGGCCATTTCCTCTCGTCCTATCGCTAGTTACTTGGGAGAAGAGACCAACACCCACCTCGCTACAACCTCCTTTCAGGTGTGTGGGGAAGTCAGAGGTGTGTCCATTCTGAAAGACCACATCCTCCTGGCAAGGCATGGATGAACTGACCTGTAGCTATCGTAGGATACCTCCAAAGCTTCTGAACAAAAAGAAAAAACTATGAAATGGTGTTTCAATGTGTATTAGGCTTGTATTAAATTATTATTCCAAATACATATGGAATAATGTTTAATTTTAACTGTATTTGTGTGGTTTTGCAATGGTTAATATAGTCTTTTTGCTTTGCTAGAATAACACTTGTTTTCATTTGAACTTGTCTGTTGTTCAAAGGTAAAGCTGACAGATAGTAAAACCTCTGCTTTTCTAAGGCAGCAAATGTAAAAGTAGTCCAGCTCATGGGGGCATCTGCAACCCGTGATACAGCGGGGCATGGCAGAAGTTGGGGTGCACTTCCTATGAGGCTTTGACTGCTTGCTTGTTGTTTAGCTGGGGAGAAGGCATTGCTCAGAGGGAGGGAGCGGACAGTGGCAAGGCAATTTACTACAGCAGGAATAAATCCCTGTTTGTCACAGTTTTCAATTTCTCTTTTCATTCAGATTTATGGAGAAAGTTCTTCCTGTGCTGGGAGAGCTCTCAGGAATATTTTTACTCTACAAGCGTCTGACCTGATTAAAGACAGGGTGTACCTTACTGGCATTTGCAGGTAACCTGAGATCATTTGTTTAATCAACTGGAGGGGTTTTATTTGCATTTGTCTATGCCCTGATTTGACAAGAGAGTAAGTTCTGAGAGTGAGATTTTGTGTGTGTTACTAAGAATCGAAAATATTTTCTAAAAAAATTCTTTAAAATGTCATGTATTTTAATATCTTTTCTTATGTTACTTTGTCAGTTGTCAGAAAGCAGCAGTGGCCTGATTGTATGTCCATTAATTTAATTGCTTATGATTTCATATGCAGTTGTGTTTGTCTGTTATTTCATTGAAAAGAAAGAGTATTAAATTCAGCCCTGGTCTGGAGTTATAAAAGAGATTAATTGGATTCCTAAGATTTAGTTACACTGTGATTTTTGCATGTAATTTATGGAATATTTCTGTAATGAAGCCATTTTCCATTTGTGTTGCATTACAGCATAAATGCTTCCTCCTATTTTCAATTATGCCAAAATATGCAGGTCTCTATTATACCACCATTCATTCATATCCGTATTTAAGAAAAAGCCACAACTTCTTTTTTTTAATGATTTAAAAAGATAAGTTTACCAATAATATGAAAGATGAAGTACATCCTAGAGCAACATTCAAGGTCTTACACATATATTGTGTAGCTGTATTGCTTATGCCTATGCTCAGAAAGGAAATAAAATCCTGAGGCTAAAAGCTGGATTTTATTTAGCTCTTATACATCTTTGGATGACTGTGTGTATGCAGCACAAATTGATAAAAATATTATATATTGTAAATTGTGCCACATGAATTAGGTGCGTAAGGGAACTTACTCATCTAACACGAGTTCCCTCGTTGTAACTAGGGGCACCCCCTGAGACTTGCCAGAATAATTTCTTCCCTTGAAATGAATAGGATTACAAAAAGTAGTAATTGAGACAAAGGGTTTGCCCTGCTGAACAAAAGGATTCACTTTTAATAGCTTTAAAAAATACCTCTTTATTATAAAAGAGCATTTTAACATTACTGTGGTGTAAGGAGTGATGTTTTGCTTATTTTCAGGAGAAGCTGTGTTGGATCGGAACTGGTAGACTGGCTTCTGGAGCAGTGCCCTTTTGTTAAGTGCAGATCTACAGCAGTTGGAGTGTGGCAGCTTCTCCTGGATATGGGCATTATATTATCAGGTCAGTCTTGATAGTACTTCTAGCGTGAGGAAGGCTATCAAGTTTCTCCTGCACAGGATAAGACTCACATTTTTGATGGGAGAGGAAAGAGGGAAAGAAAAAAAAAAAAAAAAGATTGATCCATTTTTCTTGACAGTTGTTTATTTTACTATCTCTTCAGTAGGCTCACCTCTGTAACCTTTCATTTCATAAACACCAAAGATTAATCTCTTTTTTTAGGCAATTTCCTTCCTTTTGCTTTTGCAAATGTAATTGCCTATTACAAAGTTGCAGACAGCGTGTGTGTCTTTTCCAGCCTATTTTTTTTTTCTCCTCAAGCTCTTTTAGGTTTTTCACAAGACAGCAGCTGTTTAGTCACTGCAGATCATGGCTTCGCCAGATGACTTCTCTAGCTATTAGTGATTTTTCCCTTCCTCTCTCTGTTTTTCATAGTTTTAGATTACAATGGATTGAGAGAGGATTCAGCTCCTTGAGACAGTGGTGATGCCAGGTTCTACCCGGCTGTCCACACCTTCCCCACCAAATTTAGGGGTTTGGTCTAGCTAATGTGGTTGGTGATAATTACACTGGTAACCAACCTCTGGAAATCTGATGGACTTGACTTGTAGCTGGGACTACTTAGGTAGCTCAACTCAGAGCATACCCCGCCCTGGGGTCTGTGCTAGACACTTAACTTTCCTCCTTGTGAAAAGGTGAGGTGTTATGGAAGATTTCTGCTTATGTACGGTGACAGTATACTTAAAGGTTTTCTTCTGCTCCAGCTACACTGACAGTATGTCTGATCATGCAGCCTCAACAAGGACTAAATGGCTTTCCCAGCAGGAGCTTGTGCTTTTGGCTTTGGACCCTGTCCTTCGATCCCAGTTCAATCCTGGTTATGCCAGGAAGATGACAGCTGTTGTACGGGTGCATCATCTTACCCAGGTCTAGTCTACAAATCCAGTAGCCCTGAATTTGAGGAGAAGCTGGGATAATGATGGGCTGCATCCCCATTATTGAACTTTTTTTTATTGAACTTTGTTTACTAGTGCCTGGCCATTAGTGAGAACAGATTAGAAGCCAATGGAAATCAAGGCTCAGAAATCTGACAAGTGGAAGGTTTTTATCCCCTAATTCTGAACTGATTCCAAAATTGATTAAATACTCAGCAGTCTTAATGCTTGAATTTCGGGAGCCTGGAGATCTTCAAATTGAGGTTTTGGGGTTGTCCTGTTTGGGTGCACTGAGTTAATATGAGAGGGCAGGATTGCTTCTATGCTGAGTTTGTGATCCTTTTGTCCTGTGTGGTGGTGCAACTCAGCATTAAAATCAAGTGCAATACAGAATGTGGTGGGGACACAGAACTTCTACATGGTAAAGGTTTAAAGACTATCTAATGTTATTTTTTCTAACAGTGGACAGACAACTCTATTTTCAAGACACTCATGCTTTCTACCAGTTCTCAGCGGATGAATGTACCTACCTTTTCTGTGAATTTGAGAAAGAGGAAGGGTGGAAGAATGGGGTAAAGCTCCTACTTCAGCTACTGCCGCTGTCTCCTCCCAGGATTGACATGTGTAATCTGTAAGTGTGCATATACAGCTGTTTGCAACTTTTGCTGACTGTTTTGTAAGTGGCTAGCTTATAATTACTCTGTTTAGCCCCAAAACCACTGTGCAAATGAGCCAGCTTTATTTTCAGGGTTGACAAGCTTGGTAGAGATGGGCTTTTCATCTGAGAAAGTCAGTGTGAGTAGATAAATGAAGGCACTTGACTTGGGGTTTTTGGCATATTGTGGTTCTTATGCACTAGCTTGCTGACTCTAGCTTGCTATATTACCTGGGCAAATGGCTTTATTATTTTTTTGTTCTCTTACGTTTGGAGGTTCGGCACGAATTTGGCAGCAGGCATGCTGTGGAGCTGATTGACTAGCAGATCAGATGCCCTCGTGCTGTGTCAGGATCAGCTATCAGATGGATAGAGAGGATGAGTAGAAATGTGGTAGCTTCAGTCATCTGATTTTAGTTTGCTACTGCATGTTTGCCAGAGCTCTGTAGTCTCACATTATTAGTCCTTTTTCAGAATATGCCTTTTAAGAGTTTTGCTTCCTATATGTCTCCTCTTTCGCCTGACTGTTGGATGTTATCATACCCTCTGTGCTGATACAGCTGCGCTCTAAATGTTGCCTATTTAGAGCAGCTAGAAGGAAACCATAGTTATTTGTGCCACAGTGAGACACCAAAATATAGGAAAAAGGTGTCAGTGAGAGGTCTGGAGGCTCATGACCCCTCATGCCTTTGCAAATCTGCAGGAGCTGGCCTGGATAGACAAGTTGGGTTAAATTCTTTCATTATCCCTACCATGATGAATCCTCAAACCTGATACTTATACTGTGGAGAACTATTACTCTGCCAGTACTAGGATTTATTCTCTTTGATGTCAAAGACAAAACTTCCTTCTATAAGTACTTTCCTTCTCTACATATTAGATTTTAAAAACACATTCTCTCAAATAAATGTCCAATGGAAATATTTTAAAGAGGCACAAAGCCCAAAGTCCCTGTAAGCGGTCTCAAGCCCAGCTTCTTAAATTCAGACATGTTGAGCTGGTAGAAAAAAAATCTCAGTAATTTCTCTGCATGGCTCAGGGCAGAAACTTGATTCCCTCCCCTGTTGCTGACTGCCCTCACCAACCAGAAATTGGCAGTTCTGGAGTGGGGATTCTCTTGAAAACACATTTATTTGGTCAGATTGAGTGAGTGTAGCCAAGTGACAAGGACCCCAAACTGGCTAGAGGAGGGGACTGAATGTGATCTTCTAAGCAGATGACTCATATGGGAGAAAACCTTTGAATATTTTTGTAAATAGAATTTCTTGTCTTCCAGCCTACTCTGGTGCTAAGCAGTTTGTCTGTCCCTTAAAATACCAGGGGGATTTCATCTTGATTTTAGTGGGAACTGGGGTTTTCCTCATTATCACTGCAAATCAGGCCACTTTTCATGGTTCATGACTACTTGTACAAAAGCTTTGAATCAAAAAGACAGAAAAGATAGGTCATATTGATGTGTTACGTGAAGGATGCTGGGTAGGAAAATGGATTGAAGACTTTTTAGATTCGAGTTAAAAATGTGTCCTGCATGCTGACCCTGGCTGGAGACTACCACTATTTTACAGTCTGCTTTGCAGTTTTATCATTCCAGTGCAACTGTCATTTCTAGTGGAGGATGATCCCTGTCACATGAATTGAACAATTATTCATTAATGTACATTTCCAGTTCCTTCCTGCTCACATTATTCAAATTTTAGTTGAAGTTGGATTCCTTTTGGGAACATTGTCACTGAAGAATTATTTTCTGGAGGTTTTACCTGTCAGATTGTGAGGGTGCTTTTTAAAAAAAATACATATTGAAGGAATCGAATTTTAAATAATGGTATACTCTTGAGGGAGTAGGATATTAAAGCAAAAGGAGACTTTTCCGGGTTCAGAATTCTCCATGCGTGATGCAAATGGTACACTGCTAAAACACAATCTGAAAGGGAATAGATGTGATGAGGTGTTTGTTAAAGTTATCTGACCGGGTTAAATAAACCCATATACTCTTTTTCATGAAGAAAGATGGCAATTCTAAAAACTCTTCCTTGCAGTGAGTGTTTGTCTTTTCTCAAATATATAAGCTGTTTTGCATACCATTAGAAGCATAGTCTTTCTTGTAATTTAATATTTTTGTATTCATTTTTCTGTCTTAGTTTTTCTCATAGTCTGTATTGACGGCATTAATTCTGTATGTACATAGGGATAGAGGAAGTCCTACCTTATTAATTAGATTCCCTGCTTTTGATGAAATCAGAAGCAACTGCCTGCTTGTGCACCAGAAGTCAACATTGGACATCTCCTGGTGGTCCCGGGAGCCAGATGAGCTCTGTCTCCTCTGCAGCTGGTGGGCAGCAGCTTTGCGCTTGCCTGGACTGCTGGGTGCATCAGTGGGTGTCCGTGGAGCACGATGGATTTGCTCTCCCAGAATGAGCCTGTAGACCTGAGTAGGCAGTGGCAGCTCTGGGGACTTCCTTTAGCAGCTCTTCTGGAAACCCTATTAAATAAACGTGGCCTGGTCTCGACTTGCTGGACGGATTTTTGATGGATTTGTATTTGTTTCTGGCCAGTATTAGCAGCGTTACCAAATAATACTATAGTAAGTTCTACAATGAAAACAGCGTCCTGAAGCCCGAGACGTGCTTACGGTTCCTGAATAAATGATCCCTGTTGCCTTTTGACCTCGGCAAATTCCCTACATTAAACATAACATTGGTGGGAATCCACCATGGAAAACAAGATGGGACATAGCAGATTTTTAGCAGCTCACACTAAACTGAAGGCTAATGTTGTTATGTGTATTCCACAGGACTGAGCCCCTGTAAATGTTGTCAAATGAGATGGGACTGATGCAGAGGCCTCTTGGGGTCATTAAACACCCTATGTTAATCACAGCCAATTCTACTTGAATAGAAAAGAAGTTAATATTGCAATAGCCTGGGAACAAAAGATCTGTATTGAAAGCTGTGCCATGGACTTCCTTACAGCCTTGAGCAATCACTTAGGCTCTCATCCAATGCCTCCTGAATTCTTTTCCAGTGACTGCAATGGCTTTGTATCAGGTGTTTAATCTTTGTGTGTTTCTGTTTCCTTCTTTGTAAATGGGGGTGTTTATAACAACACCTAACTCCCAGAACCACTGGTAGACTCAATGAAAATTTCAAGAATGCATTGGGTACCTTAGTCTATTGAAATGTATCCCACAATATTTTTTTAATTCTTTGAAGAGGTGTTAACAGGATTTTTTTTTTCTTTATTTCATATTGCTTGTTATTTTCTTTTCAGAAGTGTTACACTATATTCTGTATCTTCTGTCCTGAAATAATTTACATTTTATTAATTTCAGAAAAGTAACCATTCTTAAAAGTAATTTGTTTTTAATGCAAGTAGCCAGGATGGGATATTCATTTAGTTACTGCCTTATGGAGTTCCTGGAAGGCTTTTGCTGAACGCAAACAGCTCTCAGGTATCCACGGGTCTTTTATTGGCATTGTAGGTGGATTGTAAAGCCAGCGTAGAGACATATGCAGTGGTTCTACATTGGACAGTTGAGGTCCAGGCCCAGGACCATGGGTGTATCCGTATTGCTTCCTCTGTCAGCGGGTTGGGAAGCACTGTAATTGCTTTCACATGGTGTACAGTAACAATTGTGCTGGACCTGACTTGCCTGCATGAAGATCTAGGGCAAGCATCCCTGCATCTCGCTCTGCTTAACACACTACCGAGCCCACGGACCACTGAGCTGTATAAGCATTAGGCTTGTTTGCCTGGGCTTTGTAGCTCCTGTTTGGTACCAGCCCTACTAGGTCTTATCTGGCCCCTTTAAAAAAAAAAAAAAGGGTGATATCTGTCCTGATTCTGTTCTTCTGTTCCCATTCTGTCTTACTTTTTTCCATTAGCCTGGGTATCATAATACACTCTTCCTCTCTGATTCTTGAGAGCTGACTATAATTTTTAGTATATTAATGGTTTCAGAAGTGTTTGATGCTCATATGCAGATGAATACTGGGAGTATTTTTAAATAGAAGATGAAGTGATAAAGGCCCAAGACAGAAATAGCTATGCTATATGCTGTTCTGAGTTTATAGATTGCATCTGTGGCTGTGTCTAGTGAGTTGCTATCTTTTGCCTCCAATTTAGACGAATCAGGTCCTAGCCAGGTTCCGAGAGATCAGAAGAGATCAGATGTGTAGGGAAACATAGGCATCTAAAGAGGTCAGTTATTTTAATCTCATTCCAAATTATAAAGAGAAAGACTGAATAAATCAGTCTTTGCAAATGAAACTGCATTCATTTATTTCTTTTAACACTTTATAACACTTAAAATGTTAAATCACATTTTTCCTTGAATAGGAAAGGCAGTTATGAAAATAATTGTGATTTCTAATCTGAATTACCATTTTGGTCTGAATATGCTTACCCCAAAATGAATGCATGTGTCATTCTGTGCTTTCTGACCTTAATTTTTTAATCAGGGAAAGAAATTTTCGGACATGGGATATAAGAACCACAATATACCAGCTGCATATTCCAGACATGTTGTCAGCTCTCTCCCTAAACCCATCAAGGCATATGAGCAATTAAATAATTTAGTCAAAGATAGAAGCTTCTGCTAATACCTGGGATTTAAGTTTATTAAAGCAGCTGCAGTTTTGCATATCTGCTCAGTTTGCTGGCATGCCACGCTTCTTGAATAGCATGAAAAGTAAAGATCTCAAGGGCATTTTCTTTTTCTTCTTCCCATAGTAATAACCCTATCATATTGGTATCTTTCTTCTGATTGTCAATAAACCTTCCAAAAGGCTTGCAGATGTTTTAATGATGGGAATTAGACTGTTTTAAAGAAAAACATAGTCCTATCCTGTGCTGTCCACAGCAGCTTTTGTGTGGTTTTTTCCATGTGGGCCAGACTTCTGTGACGGTTTCTATAAGTGTTCTTCCTGCACTGCCCCACTCTTGCAAAGACACATTAAGTCTCTCTGTCTTGTGAGTAACTATCAAGACAACCTAATAGTGTTCTCAGCCATTGCTTTAGTTTGCTAATTTATGGCTTCTTACATGTATTCTTTCCATTTTCACTTTTTTTTTTAAATATCAAACTTCATGTGTGACATAATGATTTTGATGTTGTCTGCTTTTATCTATGCATTCCATAGGTGTTGCTCCACACCTTAGCAAAGCTGGGTGCTGGGCAGATGGAAAACTCTTCTGCTCTGTTGATGGAGTATGTTTTTAGCAGAGCAAAATATGCACTCAGATAAGCAACTCTGAGCTAAGATGGTCCTGCATTCTTCAGTTCTTCATCATATTTTTATAGCTGATGAATTCTCTCACTGTTTTACGTTAGTCCAATCAAAGGAGTTCTTGTAGTCTGTCGTTACTGACACAATTAATTATAGTCATGTTGCAGTCATTATTTTGATGTGGAAACTCAAAAGCCCTTTTACATTAGTGCCTGTGGCTACACAGTTCCTTGCTTTCCAGGAATCGAAAGATGTTGAAACAGAATGAAAGAAATAATAAAATCTTATTTTTATTTTTTTAAGGCCTGATCAAAAAATAGAAGATACGGCAGAAACCAATGCTGAAATTCTTGCTCGTCTCACTTCTGCGGTAAGGTCACTGCATCAAAGTTTGTACTGATCATGTTTGAAATATTGTCATGTTTTGTATCCTTTCAAATTAAAGACTTAGTCTTAGTGAGCAGGTGTTTGTAATGCGAACTACTTTTTTGTCTCTGAAAGGAGGAAGCTTTACTGAGGTTGTAGTGTGCAATTCCAAAGCTATTAAAATCAGTCCAAGCAAGGACTGCTGCAGCCTGCTCTCTTGTAATCCATGCTATTCATGGCCCAGGAGATACCAATTTGGAGGATCATGGTAGTTTTGCTGCCAGGTAGCTTACACTCAGATCCTCTTGATCAAGTGGACATCAGCGTGAAGAAAATGATGGGGTGGGGACAAAGGGAGAGAAAGGGCCTCAGCAGCCCTGGCATAGATTATCATAAGCTTCTGAGGAGACCCACCTGGGAAGCCTGGGTATCTGGCTTCCCAACTATGTTTAGCCTCAATGAACTCCATCATAATAAACCATAATAAACAACAGCTTATCCTGTCTGTGCTAGAATTTGGTGCATCTTGTTTATCTTGTTGTAAGATCATTGTTCTAAGAAGCAGACAGACAGGACTAAGCTAGATTCACTCGATTTAATGTAATCTGTATGATGGTACAGGGTACACCCTCAGCACATTTGCAGGTGATGCAAAACTGGGGGGAATGGTCGATGCACCAGATGGGTGTGCTGCCCATTCAGAGGGACCTTGACAGGCTGGAGAGATGGGCCAACAGGAATCTCATGAAATTCAACAAAGGGCAATCAATGTCCTGCATCTGGGAGAAATAACCTCATGCTCCTGTACAGGCTGGGGGCTGACTGTCTGAAAAGCAGCTTTGCAGAAAAGGACCTGGGAATCCTGGTGGACAGCAGGTTCAACATGAGCCAGAAATGTGCCCTTGTGGCAAAGAAAGCCAACTGCCTCCTGGGCTGCATTACTAAAAGCGTTACCCTCAGGCTAAGTGAGGTGATCATTCCCCTCTACTCAGCACTGGTGTGACACATCTGGAGTGTTGGGTCCAGTTCTGAACTCCCAGTACAAGAGACATGTGGATGTACTGGAGCGTATGCGAATGACCACGAAGATGATCAGGGGAGTAGAGTATCTGACTTACAAGGAGAGGCTGAGAGAATTGGGAGTTGAGCTTGGAGAACAGAAGGCTATGGGAGGATCCTTATGGGTCCCTTCCAACTTGAGATATTCTATGATTCTATGATCTTATCAATGTGTATAAATACCTGATGGAAGGGAATAAAGAAGATGAAGCCAGGCTCTTCTTGGTGACGTCTTGTGACAGGACAAGAAGCAGTGGCACAAACTGAAATTCAAGAAATTCTACTTAAACATAAGAAAAAACTTATTTACTGTGAGGGTGATCAAACAGTATAACAGGTTACCCATAGAGGTAGTGGAGTCTCCATCCTTGGAGATGTTCAGAACTCAACTGGACATGGTCCTGAGCAACCTGCTCTAGCTGACCCTGCTTTTGAGCAGGGACTTGGGTGAGATGACCTCCAGAGGTGCCTTCCTACATCAACCATTCTGTGATTGTATGGTTCTGCGAACATCACACCTAAATCATGGTATCAGCAAAACATGGAATTAGTGCTAGTTCTGTTTTGGGTACGTGAGAAAGTACAGAGATGAAAGTGAACTAAGCAGGGTGAAGTTGTCATGAAAAAGGCATGAGGATAAGAGCTATTTTAAGTAAAACAAATAAAGTACTATCTTGAAATTGCTGAAAAATGGAAGGGAAGGACAATTTGTGCTATATTTTGTAAAGACAAATGCCTTTACAAAAGACATTTTGTAATGTGTTTGGAAAGCCAGTGGTTCTGTATGCTCAACCTTATGCAAAAATAATTTAGAATGTATGACATTAGAAAATTTTGTGGTTTAACATTTTTTTTTATTTTTTATTTTCCCTATATTCAAATTCCTTGTTTCCTCTACCTTTTTTCCTAACTGAAAATGAAAGAACTCAGAACCTCAATATCCTCCATTTTTAGTTCCATAGAGAGAAAAAATAGAAAAACATAAAATACTTTTTGCAAAGTTATATCTTTTCAAAACCTCACAAAACTACCAACTCTATAAAACATTGCCAGTATCCCTCAAAAGCTTCGCCTCTCAAAAATAGAAGAATAATGGGTTTTTCATCAGTTAAAAAAAGGGAAGCACTCAACAAAACAAAGTGACTTTCTGAGTTTAAGAACTGGGATCTAACTGTTGCTGGATACACTTGAGTAAAATGCATATCCTTAAAGATGTGAGTAATTGACAGTGAGTTCAGAGTGCTTCACATCTAGCTTGCAAGGTCAAACCTTTGAACTACATCCTGAGTGATTCCAGCAGCAGGGCACATGGACAGGTTTTTTGTTTTGTTTTTTTTTTTTAAATGAACCATTTTATTGCTGTAGCTAACTAGCTAAAGAAAAATCAGGCAGCTGCATGTCCAGATGGCCTGAGACCCATCTATTGCCATGGTGGTGTCAAAAAGACTGATCTTTTCTTCTGCGTTTTCTGATTTTCCACAGAACTGTGCAGGCTCTCTATAATGATTTTCTAGTCTAACCCTGGGGAAAAGACATAAGACCAGAGCAGAATCCTCCAAATATTAACATCTGTATATGAACTTCTCCCTCTTATCCATCCAGAATATTGCTTTTCCTCCATACAGTAGACTGGGATCTAAAGTACTCACTGCGAGTTTATGGAGAGCCTTTATGCGTCCCAAGGGAATTTGAACCCTCAGCTTGCACCACTCAGCAGGGGGCTGGACTCACCAGGATACAGGTTCTCAATGTTTTTGTTGCTGCCAGTTTCAGAATTTGTATGGAAAAAGAGTCCTGTGAGCCAGGGCTGGAAACCAAAGGTGAAGGTATTAGCCATGAACTGGAAATGTGTTCATACTGCCTTGCTTTTTGGCTCACTGAATGTTTACATATTTTACACAGAATCAAACAGTCTTCCTTGAAGAATTCATAATTCAGAATCCTGTTGACAATACTCTTCAGACCAGTGTTTCAGAAGTGGAAAAAAAAAAACCCCAAAACCTTACTTCCAGCCCAACACTAAAGCAGTCAGAGATTAGAGTTGACTTTTTTGTACATTTCTGGGTTTGGAGGTTCAAATCCCATCGGTGTTGATAGTACCACTGTCTCTTCTGCTTTTCTTTTTGCTTTTCTTGTAATGGAATAAAACATTCTATGTCAGGTCAGAAGGATGCTTCTGTGTCAGCTTTTCTTTTTTGGGAATTAAATTCCCAAATTTTCAAACCTAAACTGATTGTGAAGATCCAGCCCAAGCAACATTGTAGAACTGTAAGCATGCATGCACATAAGGTCTAATTATATATTTCTGTAACTCTGTAAAAGCTATTGCTGTTGCAGGGGCTGAAACTCACCTCACCTAAATATAAGTGGCCATATGGCAGGCATCTACATCTGAGCTAGCTTCCCCAGGCACTCCTTACAGCCAGGGAGCAGGAATAGGCACTTTTAGGATGCTGAGTGTATGATTCATTTTGAAAGTCTACTTTAGGGAAAAACAGTCATACCTTAGGCTCCGCTGGTAAGGTATGCACTCTCTATGAAGGGGTTATAGAGTGACTAGCACAGACATAGGCATCTGTACAAGTTTGGTGAATTCCTCTCTCCACCTCTTTTTCTTTACTGTAGCCTGACTTTCTTTGTTGGCCTTTCTCTTATTACTTATTCCCTACTGCTTTTTGTTACCAGGTGTTGTTTCTCTTGTAGAGTTCCACTTTTCACATTCACTGCACAATTTGTGATTTTTTTTTTTTTTTTTTTTTTTTTTTTTTCGCCCGGTTTAGAACGGTTTGT